GCATTATTTGTCAAGTTAATAAAATTTTCCTGCGGTTGCAAACACGTTAATTTCTTCATTCTTATTCGAAGAGGAGTTTTAGAGTGATTCAAGCATGAAAATTTAGTCGTTATTTGAAACATTACATGATATTTTTTTAAGAACTAAATTATTTTGCATTGTTAGATTCTAGAAAGTGGTGAACATTGCCTGTGCGCATTTGTTGTTTAATTTAAGCCATAAATCTATCATTGATTGAATTAAATGCTTGGGAAAATCCTCTTGTTTTCAATGAGAGGCATACTTTTCTTGAGGACAAGCAAATATCTAGTTGGGGAGAGCTTGTTGAATGGCAAACATGCTTTAATTTGATCCATTATATTTGACATTTTTCATCTCATTTGTTAGATTTTGTTGGATTTATTCCATGTTTTCATGCTATTCTTCAATTATGTGCAAATACCTTTGGTTGCTTTGATTTGTGTGTTATTGTGCAGGATTTAGACATAATTTATCAAAGAATTAAGACACAAGTAATTTGACAAAGAAGTCAAATAAAATGTGAAGGTTTAACATGTTTGTTGGGCGAACAGCCAACGAAGATCAACAGGGAATGTTCGTTGGGCGAAGTGTCAGTGAACCCTTTCAATTTAAAGGAAGAAAGAAAAGAGCACTAAGTTCGTTAGACGAACTTGAAGCGAATGTTCGCTAGGCGAGGTTGCAGCGAAAGACTAGCGAGCCACCCCAATTTTGAGGCAGTAACTAAAGGACGCTAAGTTCGTTGTGCGAACTTGTAGTGAAGTAGCTCGCAGGGCGAAAAATAGTTCTCTAGGTAAACTCAGATATTCCCTAAGGGGCGCTTTAACTATTCAAAGGCATTTCAGGTGTCATAAAGTACAGTTTATTGGGCGAACTTGACATATTCTAGTTGTACTATATAAGTATTTTTCACACTTTTTGGGGATCATAACCCATTTTTCACATAGAGACTTATATTTTCAGCATTTCTTCACCAAAAAGGGAGATGTTGCAAATAGAAGCTGGATTTGCATCCGAGTTCGATTCTTCGACGTGGATGCTCACTCATCTTCTCTCTTTACTTGTAAAGCGAGCTACCATGGTTATGGGTAGCTAATTTCTTTTGTATCAAAGGTAGATGTAGTCTACCTTAGCTTTATGTATTTCTTTTGATTGGCCTCGTATGCGAACAAGTAATGATTAATATATGATGAATATTTTTGTTCTTAATGATCCATTATTGTTTTGTAAAATTCTAGACATAAATTTTATGGAACTTGACCTAAAATATTCATCTATTAATTTATAGATTGGAGAGATCGGTCTATGATTGATATTTGCTTTGTATTAAACTTAAAGCTTATTAGATTGGTTGTTATATGGATAGATCGTGTAGCGATGAATACAATATTATACACAATGATATTAATCAGATCCGAGTTCACATGCAAGATTGAAAGAATATGTATAAGTTAGGGTAGATGAAAACTACTTTTGATATATCTTGTTAATCAAATACTTTAGAATTTATCAGCTTTGCTACTATGAATCGTGACAATTTATGAACCAAAATTTGAAAACCTTTTTCTTAGAACTGTAAACTATTGAAAGGAAATCATCAAGATATCGGACAATCCCTGTGGAGACGATAACAAAAACTCCCTATTCTACATCTTAACAGAGACACACAAGGTTCTCAACTGCCAAGAACTAGAGACATAACTGCTACTCAAGTATTAACATTAGAAAGGCCAAGTAAGTTGGGTGTTAGGAGACCATCAACACCTTTTGTTCCTTCTGGACCTACTACAAGACTAAGTGCTGCCAATAATGTGATTGGACCAACTACAAGGAGGACAACTCCAACTAAGAGGACCACACCCAAGAAAAACTTAGATCTATTTAAGATGTCATTTTGAATTGCTTTCGTTTTGTGTAATGCTTATGTATGTTATTTTGGAACCACTTACTATCATTTTGTGTTATGCACTTATGCTTATGTTTGTCATTTTGAATTGCTGTCATTTTATATAATGGATATGGATGTGATTTTGAACAAGTTTATATGTTATTGACAATTATGTGTTATGTTGAAATTCTGTTAAAGACAAGTTTATATGTTATGACAATTATGTGTTATGTTGAACAAATAGAATGTGGTTTCAAACTTAAAAAACCAAAACTGTATAAAAAACCCAGAGAAATGTTACAATGATACAAACCAAAGCATTTCACTACAACAAAAAAAACCAGAACTACTACAAGGTTCAACTAATTTGGAATACAAACTTAAACATTTCATATCATCATGAAAAAAATCAGAACTACTGTAACTACAATAACAAACATCATCCAACAAATTTTCCACTTTAAAATCTTGTTCATCTCATTTTGAAACTGATCCATCTCCTTCCTTAATTCTTCATTTGTCAACCTAACTTTTTCAATCTCCATTGTTGCATCATCCAATTTCTTTGATAACTTTTCCAATCTAGCCATTATAAATTGTCCTTTATCATCTTGAGCTTCATCATAGAACCATTCAAAATACCCACACCCAGGTTGCATTGTTCCCTGCAATATACAATTGATTATTCAAAATAAACTCCTTGTACATATGACATACATACCTTAAAATGAGAACAACCCCAAAAATATTTTCCATAGCTCTTTGTCGTTGTAAACCTACGAAGAATAACCGTGTCTCTACAATGACAACTCAGTTTTCATGGAAGATTCGAGCTCGTGAGCACACTAGAGTTCAGACTTTCATGACTGTTCTGTTTCATGGATGATGAAGCATAACCCGATTTCATGGAGGATGAATCCTAATTTTTAATTTTTGGGAATCAAAATCAAATTAAGATGACAAAACCCTATGAAGAAAAATGAAGGAAAGGAAAAGAAAGGAAAACGCAGATGGTGGTGAAATAGATAAAAGAATAAGAAGAAGACAATCCATGTCATCTGCCACGTCTACAGCCCCTAACGTCCGTTTGGAGTAAATTGACGGAAATGACTCATCTGCTCCGTTTTAAACAATTAAGGGATCAATTTGAATATTTTAAAAATTAAGGGATCAAAATGGACCCCGAGTTAAAGTTAAGAGACAAAAAAGAGTATTTTGCCAATTTTTTAAAAGTTATTCTTTAAATTTTTTTTAAAAGACTAAAAATAAAATATACTTCCTCTATTTCACATTATAAACAAATTTTACTTTTTAGATATATTGAATAATTAATGTATTTGGTATATGTATAGTCCAAATACATTAATTATTCAATGTATCTAAAAAATAAAATTTGTTTATAATATAAAACGGACGGAGTAAACATTAGGAGAACGATAAATAATCCTACAAACTTTATATTATGACTCTGTTTGACACGACCATTTTTGAGCTTATAGCTTATGGCGTATAAGCTCACATGACAATAAAAAACCAGTTTGATAACTATCTTTTCATCTCGAGCTTATACCTTATTTTACTAGTTTATGACTTATTTTTCAGACGCTATTTTAAATAGCGTTTTAACTTATAACTTATAGCTTATCATTTTTTCTTCCATTTTTGTCTTTATTATTTTAACTAAAATCAACTACTACTCTTTATAATTTATTTTAATTTAAATAAATCAATTATATATTAAATGTATTTTATGTTATTTTAATTTATCATTTAATTGAACCGCTAATTTTATCAAACATTTCAATTAGTTTATTAACTATAAATCATCCACCATAAACTATAAATTATAAACTATCAATCATCAGCCATCAGTCATAAATTATAAACTATCAATTAACTTATTAACCAACTGCTATTTTTATCTTATATTTTTTGTATTAAAATACCATAATTATTGACCGTTTTTATTGTTTGAATGAAGAAAAAAAAAGAAAAAGTTACTTTAAATACAAAAGACAACAAAAGCAAAAAAAAAAAACAAAATTTACCAAAAAAAGTGAAAAAGAAGAAAGCAATTCTCATGACTTTTTATCCTGACATAAAAAATGTCATGACCAAATGCTTTGACAAATTAAAAGAAACAAATATTTTTTTATTAAAAATAAAAAATAAAAAATAAAAAATAAAAGAAACACAAAAAATAGATAATAAAAATATATTTCATTAAACAACTCATTTGATAATTGTACAACTACAAACAACTACACTTAGACGAATATGAATCTCTATTATTTCCATTTATTCACCCTATTACAAATGTGGGAGTTCAAATATCATTTTTCATTCATTGATTTATTATTATCAACTATAAAAAAATATTAAAAAAAATGAAAAATAGGAAAACAACTTTTGTCTACTATTGACAGCAAAAATATGGAGAAGGAGACGGGTAACCTTCAATTTTCATCTTACTTGTCTTTTTCTCTGAAATTCTAAATGCAAAGAAATAAAATAAAAAAGTTAAAAAATAGAAAAATAAACAAATAATAAAAAAAGAAAATGGAAAAAACAACTCTCCTATAATCAAACAGAAGCATTATTTTTGTTGTCATTCTTGTTCTTGTTATTCACTTTCTCTCTCCTCTTTCTCTCTCTTCATACCAAACCAGACCCACTTCCTCCGTTCATCTCCATACATTGTGATTTGCGAAACTACTTTTGTCTGTTCCTCTTTGATCCAGCACACCAAAAAAATTTCATTTTTTTGTCTCTCCTTTTTTTTGCCCTTTCTAATTTTTGGCCTTAAGTATTCTAACATGATTGATTTGGGTTTTGGGGGTGAAGGAATGTAGTTGGAGAAGGTGATTCTTTTTGAATAAATAAATCCTCAACCATGAGGTTGTTTCAAATTTTATAAATTTGATTCATTTTTATTCTTATTAATATTATTATTACCCCCAATTTTTCTTTTTTGAATTTAAATTGATTACTAGATTGTGAAAAATCTTGTTGTGGAGATTCAATTTGGTCCTTTTTCCTTCCTTTGTTTGGATTTTTCCACAATCAAGTGCTTAAATTTGAAGGTGATTTTATCATGGATCATGTGATTGGTGGGAAGTTTAAACTAGGAAGGAAAATTGGGAGTGGCTCTTTTGGAGAGCTCTATTTAGGTTTGTGAATCTTTATTCCCTTTATTGTTTGCTACATTATATTGTAATTGTTTTGTTACTATTAACATGTGCATTTTATTTTTCTTATATCAGCACTTAATATACAAAGTGGAGAGGAGGTGGCTGTCAAGCTGGTATGTGAAATTCTCTTCAAGCTTTTCTCTCTTTTTTATTGTTGAATTTCTTCATGATTTTGTTGAGTTTTTTTTTGAATTTTTCTTTCTGGTGGTTCTGGATGTATTTATAGGATATTGTTATCTTAACTATTTAGGTTAATAGCAATGCATGAAATTAGGTATGATTTCGTTTATCGCCGGCACAAATAGAAAAAGAAATGTCTTGAGATGTAAATTAAATTTTTGAAACTTTTGGAGAATAGGTGAATGATTAGTTCTTGAGGCATAGAAGATATGAATAAGTTATCTTTATGGATTGAAGTGATATATGAAATGGCACATTATGTTTTTCGTCACAGGTCTGTTTTGCAGCTGCTGGATGCTCATTTTGTTTCATAGTTTTAGGATATATTTTATGTTGCATTATTGATCGTGTTTTGCTGGTTTCATGAGAATTTTTTTTCGTTATTACCAGTTAGTTGTACTTCTAGTGATACGATATGTTTTCCAGTTTCTAATCGTCTTGGTGTTCTGCCAAAATAATTCAGGAATCTGTGAAGACCAGGCATCCACAGCTTCACTATGAGTCAAAATTGTATATGCTTCTTCAAGGAGGAAGTAAGTTTGCATCCCTAGAAGATTCATGTGGAAAATGTTTCGGAATCATTAAAAAATATGCACATTTGTCTTTGTTTTCTTGATCCTAGAGTAAAACGTGATTAGTGCAATGGATCTTCTTTAAATACTGAAATCATGAACATTCCTAAGCAAAAATGTAAAATGAAAGATGTTATTTAACTACGTATTTGTTTTCTGGCGAGTAAATATGATTTTCTTTTTTCCCTTTATGAAGCGGGTATTCCCCATCTCAAATGGTTTGGTGTTGAGGGAGAGTACAATGTCATGGTTATCGATCTTCTTGGACCAAGTCTGGAAGACTTATTCAATTATTGTAACCGGAAATTTACATTGAAATCAGTGTTGATGCTTGCTGATCAATTAGTAAGTTTGTTTGTCAAGTTGGTGACTATTATTATGAAACAAGGTTTTTTAAAAAGTGATACTAATGGTTATTTGATTGTACTTTTGTTTGTTTTTTCAGATTAATAGAGTTGAATACATGCATTCACGAGGCTTTCTTCACCGCGACATAAAGCCAGACAATTTTCTGATGGGCCTCGGACGTAAAGCAAATCAAGTATGTTATTATTGAAGTTTTCTTTCTTGTTTTTATTTTATTTTATTTAATTATTCCCTTGTCTATCTTTTGATATGTGTTGTTGTTTTAAAGATTTTGGTTGTTATTTATTTTTTTGTCTTTGATATAATTCACTGATACATTATGCTCTTCATCTCATTTCAGGTGTACGCTATTGACTACGGCCTTGCGAAAAAATATAGGGATCTTCAGACTCACAGGCACATACCATACAGGTTGGTTTTGTTCTCATTATTTCAGAAGGGTGCAATATTTAGTTAAGCTAATAACTAAATATGCATTTGCATAACTTTAATACGCTATTATGTCATTTTTCTAGTGGAAATCATTACTTAAATGTATATCATATTAGTATATTTTAACAGTAACAATATCAAACTTGGCCCCAACAATTCCCATTGAATTAATATATGTAAGTGATATTTTCCTTATTTGCATAGGGAAAACAAGAACCTTACCGGCACAGCACGCTATGCAAGTGTCAACACTCATCTTGGAATCGGTTAGTAATATTTTATGCTGGTTTATTCCTTTCGCACTTAGAAACATTAGTTCGAAATGAATTATTATTAGACTATTAGAATAAAATGTGTTTTCTACATACTAATTGTGTGTGATTGTGCTGGCAGAACAAAGCAGAAGGGATGATCTGGAATCTCTTGGTTATGTGCTCATGTATTTCTTAAGAGGAAGGTTGGTTAATTGATAAGTAAAAAGGTTTAATGTTGTTACAACTTTATTCACAGTATGATCATTCTTTCTAACATACTCTTTCTTCAGTCTTCCCTGGCAGGGACTGAAGGCTGGAAACAAAAAACAAAAATACGATAAAATCAGTGAGACAAAGGTGTCAACTCCGATAGAGGTACGTTTTTCGTAAAATTTTCCTCTTCGTTTTCCCTTCTGTCTTGTTTCTGATAGAATCTTAATTTTATTGATATTCTTGAATTATGCGCTTTTATAAAAATAGGTGCTGTGTAAAGCATATCCCTCTGAGTTTGTATCATACTTCCACTATTGCCGATCATTGAGGTTTGAAGACAAGCCAGATTATTCATATTTAAAGAGACTTTTCAGAGATCTATTTATTCGAGAAGGTAAGTTTTTGCCTCAAATATTCAATATGGAAAAGTATTCAGTTTATTTTGCTGGAAACTTAGCGTGCTTAGTAGCTGTGAACTAATAATGTGGACATTGTTTTTGCAGGATATCAATTTGACTATGTTTTTGACTGGACTGTATTGAAATATCCACAGATCGGTAGCAGCTCTAGAGGACGGGTTAGTATTTTATATATTTCTTGTTTGGATTTTTCCGTTTATTGTTTGTTGCTTACTGTAGTTGTTGTAACGACAGCACGGCAATGGCAAGGCAGCTATGCAAGCAGCTACACCTGCACACAGACCAGAAAAGATGCCAGGTCCGTTTTCTTTCAGCTGAATAAGAATGAAATTTAGTATAGTCATATTTAGCATCACTCATCAATAACAGAACTAATATACTGCTCTCGAATTCTGTGTTATATACTATTTGCTTGTGCAATTTGTTTCAGTTGGGAGAGAGATTCGAGAGAAGTTATCTGGGGCTGCTGAAGCATTCAACCATAGGAACCGCCCAAGTTCTACTCCTCATCATCATCACGGTGAACATGTCAGACATAGGACTTTTGACGAGGCAGCAATGTATAAGGAGATGGTAATATTGTTTTTTCAACAATAAGAATATATAAATCATCATGTGAAGTTTTCAAATAAGAATATTGCTTCATGTCTGGTTAAACAATTGTCGCTAATAAATATGTTCTGTCAAATCTAACAGACTTATTTTCTGAATATGTAGTTGAGTCTTGAGTGTAACTATGTATTTGTCTATTGTTATATTATTCTCACGTTTAACATTATCTTGTATTTACAGCACTATGCCCAACAGAATACAACTCGATACGGCAGCAATTCAAGAAGAGCAATGGTACCATCATCAAACAGGACGAATTCCTCAGGCGACCATACTGGCAGGTTGGCCACAAATGGTGGGGGCCGTCCATCTGCCGCACATAGAGTTCAACCTGTTTATGAGTCCAAACAAGCAGCTTTTGCGCGCAATGGATCTTTGAGAGGCCACCGTGATGATCCTCTGAGGAACTTTGAACTCCTTGCAATCAGGAAGTAATCTCAAAGTTCTCATTTTGTTGTCATTTCTAAATTTCACCTGAGATTTCAAGAAGCCTTATGGAGGTCATGGATAATACTGAATTACCTAAGAGGTCACAATGGCATGACCTCTTCATATCACTTCTGGATCCCCCCAGATTGCTTCAGAAGATTTCTCAGCAACTGTAATGTGTTCTTATAACATGTCGAAGATGTAATTCAAAGAAAAGATTCTTTTAATATAAATAAGTATTGTACTGGATCAAAGTTTTGTGATAACATTTTTTTTTACCATGAATCAAATTTAACAAGGCTAATGTGCTGAATGATATGGTGATGTAGGATTATAAAACTGGAGATATCATTTTCATAACAATAAATGAATTAAAAAAAAAGCTGTGAAAACAAGCCCTTGAAATCTTGAACTGATTATTAGGTATATATAGCATCAAACTAAGGTTATTATGTGCAATCATTCTATGACTAGTGCAGTGTTTTTTTTTTTCATTCCCAAGTTTGGTCTCGAATCCACGCCACTAGATTGCCCTAGCCGAGCGCATAACAATTTAAACTGAAATAAATCAACAACTTCAAGAAGGATATACACATTGAATTTCTGAAATACACATTGAATTTCTGAAATTCCAACAAAACACAGACGTTCTGAAAATAACTATAGTTTACAACTGAGTTTGAAAACCAAAATCCTAGACAAAAGTTATGGATTTCTAAGAGCTGCCAAACGCTTCTCAATGTCATCAATTTCGGAGCTGCAATGTCATCAAATTCAAAGGTCAAACAAGCGACAGAGAACCAACAACTATAGAAGTTGCACAGAAGAAATCACTTGTCAGCTAAACAGAGATGTGAATTTGGAACTTCAAATGCATAAGTCCAAGTAAACTATTCACAACTTATATGATATATACCTGCTGACATTTTCGGTATTCTTTGTTTTGAGTCTCCCTTTTGGAGCTGCTGATAACTGCCAGTAGTTCAAATATAACAGAAATTAACATGAGCACAAAACATAAAGATTTATGACAGATTATAGAACTGCAAAGATTAATAATAACTTATTCCAACCTGTGAAGCAAGATCCACACCAATTTCATCGAGCACCTGCCAAAAAGAAAAGTAAATGAAATTTCCATCAATTCTTTTATGCAATTTAAAAAGTAAATGTTACCTCCATATGATCAAATCTTAACTTCTTCCCTTATAAATTTAGCTATAAGCCATTCAGAATTTTTAAAGTATTTTAAGGTGCATTTGATTTGGTAAAATAAAAACATCACTGCAATGTGAGAAAGTCCCTAGTACCTGATTTGTGAGATCTTCTGTCTCCTCTTCAGCTTCATCATCATCCAAGACATCATCTATGGCATCTGACATCATTTCAGTCTGCATAAATTACAGAGTCAGGACCACTAAAATCCGTGTCATTAGAAGTGGAAACACAAACAGCATTTCGAAATTTATGCCCACTTTGAAGTTTACAACATCTTACAGTTATGTCCATTTGCGCCGATTGTTTCTGGAACTCTTGAATAACTTTGGCTTGCTTTCTAGGTGCCATTTCCTGCAAATGATTTCTTTAAATTCAGCACAAAAGCAAAGAGTGAAAATATGACTTAAACAAAGAGTAATTTATGGACTCCGATAACCGTTTTATGTTGCCTTAGGTGAAAATTAGAAGAACAGCTAGTATCAATTTAGCATTTCTTTCTTCCCAATACAATATGTTTCCTTCATGAGCATTCATTGGAAACTTTGCAGTCTTAAAAAGCTAACAATAACCTATAAATACCAACTTTATCCCCTAAACCTCGACCTCGAACAAGCTTACACACATTTCCATGAATAAACACACTGTTAAAATTCGTTAATGGGCACAATAACATGTCAAAACCATAAAACCTTCATGAAAGCAAAAAAATTTTCTTTCTATCTTTTTCGGTATGGAGTGTATCCTAATAATATCTTGCTATCATCGCATGTCCAATACTAAAACCAGCAATGTATCACGTGTGGAGCCATGGATGTAAAATACCAATTCAAACACGTGATAAACCGTGCTACCTTATTCATCGCTTCCATTGCCTTACTAGCACCTTTCAAACCAACAGAAACAGAAGATTGAGCATACTGTGCCTGCATAACATAAGAGCAAAAATCAACCACCATGTCATAACCAAGTACCAAAACTAGAATCATAAGAACCACTATTCAAGCAATCTACCTGTGTGTGAGTTGCCATGCCTCTCATCTGAGCTCGACTACTTTGAAGATTAGCAATTTGTTGCCTAAGCCGGACTAACTGGCGCGCTAGAATTTTAGTTGCATCCTGCAAAAGGTGCATGATAACTGATAAGCAAGGAAAATACCAACTAAATTATCGTCATAGCTTATCAATTTTGGTCTTCCTACGGGAAGAAAACAACTAAGTGCAAGATAGATGAATGTTTATACCTCATTACCCGTCTTAGCAGTTCTCTTTATCTCAGCAACTAGCTTCTTTTCCTAATCATAAAATCCCCACAACACATCAAAAACGAGTAAATCAGTATTTCGGTACTCGAATTTATAAAAGCAATTTTCCCCTCAAATTTATGAAATATCAATTTAGCCCCTCAGTCGATATACATTTTTCTTAAACATCTATTCTGTTACACTATTGTAACAGAATTCTAACTAATTCTGTTACACTATATCGATCATACATTTATACTCTAATAATCAATACCAATGAAGGACTCATATATTGACTTCAATAGTTTTTGCTACATCAAAACAAACCTGGAACCTTTAACATTGTGGTGCTAAATTTTAAAAAAAAACTATTGAATGACACTGTTCAATTTAAGGGACTGAATTGCTATTTTACAAATTTAAAGGACTAAAACGGCCCACTTTAACAATTTCAAGGACTAGATTGCAGATATCTTTTTGGTAGGTAGACTAAGTGACAATAGTCACCAGAAACTCATAAACTCACACACAACTACGAGGTACCTGATTCAAACCTTGGACAAAATGTCCAGCCTAACAATATCGACATTTCTCATTTGAGTTATGCCTTACATATGATTTACTCGATTAAAAATTGAAACAAACGCATATAGATTAATATTAATAGCTATGAAGCACGGACACCAGAATATGACAGTGACATGATATACTGACATTTGTAATAACTCAAAAAGATTAATAAATAAATGAGATCACGAGACCTACAATGACACGAGACATAGTGGTTAATAGTAAAGTAAGTGATACCTCAAGTTGCAATCCTCTAATTTCCTTCTCTATACCTGTGGAATATATAGATATAGATATATGTGAAAATAACACTAATTGAGTAATGTGATGAAGTGAAAAGTGAGAAAATGACCTCTAGTGGCGTTTGCCATTTCACGTTTACTCTCACGAAGAACCTCTGCATGATCGAAGAAGAAGGGTTTGTTTTAATGAAATTAAGCGAAATTGAATGAATGATCGTAGAAAAAAAGACAAGACATGAGAAATTGAGTGATCAAATTAATGATGAGGAACCTTTTGGCTTGGGTTTTTTGGAGAAGATTTTCATCATCGTATTGGTTGTGTTCTTCAAAGTTCAACAATGTTGCAATTGGAATCACAACTCTTCACACTCTGTTGTAACCCCAATTCAACAAACTCTGTTGTTCTATGCGAGTGTGTGATGCTTATGATTATGTTTAATTGTAACTATTTTAGCTTTATTCACATTTATTTAAGGCTTTAAAATAATTCTAAAATTTTATAACAATATTATTAATATCTTTTAGTAACACTTTAAAAATATTTGGAGACTAAATATAAAATAGAAAAAACTTAGGCTTTATTTATTTATTTATAAATCTTCAATGTGTCACGTGTCATAATAAAAAACTTTTAAAATTTACAAGTCCGATCTATTTAAATAAATATGAATAATTTTATTATTATTGTATTATATTTTTGTATTTTAAATTAAAATAAAAAAATAAAACTTAGTTATTTAGAAGAACATGTAAAAATAAGATGAAAAAACTTTATTAACAATGTCATAAGTTGTTTTTATATTTTTTTTCAAATAAATAGTATTACAAAATTTATGTTACTAGGTAAACTTTAATAGGTTGAATTGCTTATTTTCACATATTCAAATGAAATAGGCATTTAAGTAGGTTAGTATGCCAATCAAGCCTTCGAAAAGGTCGAACTCATGCCTAAAATTAAACCTATAATAGGCTACGAGTCAAACTTAAATTTTAAACTTTTTAGCAGGGCAAACCCAGACTTGACCAAGTCCAGCTCGACCTAGCATATTCCCACCCTCTGTTACACTTAAATTTAATAATAATAATGGAATTACAACCATGGGGTCATTGTCATGTGGACGAATATCTGCTGCATCCATCTCGGTGAAGGTGATCTCATGTTCCATGGCTTCTTTCTCGCTAGAGTTAGGGCTCGTGGGCAATCCCTCAATGGTTAGAATTTGACATGCGTATCTTCTGCAAGTAGAACTAACCTCTCAGCCTCCGGTGAGTCCTACTGCTACACTATTAAGGGTGTGGGCACATTGTAGTGGTCAGTTATTTGTTTGTCGCTAAAGAAGGTTGATATAGTCTTAGGGATGGATTGACTCTCTGCTAATTAAGTGTTTAATGGTTGTGAGGAGAAGTTAAACATCATTTCGTCCAAGGAAGCTACTCTGAAGGATGTACTGACTACTATTTTGGAAGGTACGGTTGGCATGATTAATTTCTTATTTGAGAAGGAAAAGTCTGTTCTTTTGGTTCTCATGAAGGCAAGTAACGACTTGGAGGTTTTCCTCGAGGATGTCACTTCTCTCCCTCCGGAGAGGGAAGTGGCTATTCTCTATTGACTTGGTACTGGGAACGGCTCATATATTCGTTTCTCCGTATCAGATGACACCGCTTGAGTTAAGAAAGTTGAAGGAACAATTTGAAGAGTTATTGGCTAAGCATTTTGTTCGACTTAGTGTTTCACCCTGGGGAGCTCCAGTATTGCTAGTAAAGAAGAAGGATGGAGGAATGCAGTTGTGTATGGATTACCTCTAGTTGAATAAAGTCACCATCAAGAACAAGTACCCCTTACCCAGGATAGAAGACCTGTTAGAACAGTTGAAAGGAGCCTGTGTGTTCTCGAATATTAATTTACGGTAGTTATCATCAAATCTGTGTGAAGTGTTCAGACGTACCAAATACCACATTTAAAACCCGTTATGACCATTATGAGTTTCTTGTAATGCCTTTCGGTGTAATGAATGCTCCAGCTGTTTTCATGGATTACATGAATCAGATATTTCAGCCTTACTTGGACCAATTTGTAGTGATCTTTATTGATGATATTCTTATTTATTCTCGTACTCCTAAAGAGCATGGAGAATATTTAAGGATTGTTTTATCGATCTTGCAAGAGAGACAACATTTTGCCAAATTAAGCAAGTGTGAGTTTTGGATGACGGAAGTTAGATTTATTGGTCATGTTATATCCCAAGGAGGTGTAGTAGTAGATCAATCGAAGGTTGAAGCAGTAATTAATTGGGAAAGACCGAAGAATGATTTAGAAGTCAGAAGTTTCTTAGGATTGACAGGTTACTGTAGAAGGTTCATCAAAGGCTTTTCTCAGTTGGCTTTACCAATGACTAGACTTACCTGGAAGGAGTTTCCTTATAGTTGAGATTTATGCCGTGAGCAAAGTTTTATGAGTTTGAAGGAACGGTTGACGACTGCTCTTGTTTTGATTATTCCTAATCCTAAAAAGCCATATGAAGTATTTTGTGATGCTTCCAAGAAGAGATTAGGAGGTGTGTTAATGCAGGATGGATATGTTGTAGCTTATGCTTCTTGTCAATTGAAGGTTCATGAAGAGAATTATCCAACTGATGATTTGGAGTTAGCGAATGTGGTTTTTACACTTAAAGTGTGGCACCATTACTTGTATGGAGTGCTTTTTGTGATGTTCAGTGACCATAAGAGTTTAAAATATTTGTTTAATCAAAAGGAGTTGAATATGCGTCAAATGAGGTGGATCGAGTATTAAAAGGACTTTGACTTTGAAATGAAGTATCATCCAGGTAAAGCGAATAAGGTGGCATATACGTTAAGTCGGAAGGAAGTACATAAAGTTAAACTGATGATGTGTAAGTATGCATTGTTGGAAAAGTTTTGAGATCTAAATCTTCAATTTGTTTTGACTCCAGATGTTGTGATAATGTGAAACTTGAGAAATGAAATCCAACAAGGGCAAGTGCTAGAAGCAAAGGTACAAGAGATGTTGGTTCAACCGGGTTTCACACGAGGCATAAATGAAGTTATTCTATTTAATTGGAGGATATGTGTTCCAGATGATATTGTGCTAAAAAGGAAGATTTTGGAAGAAGCACATAAATGTACTTTTACTATACATCCTGGTTCCTCGAATATGTATCAATATTTAAAAATGGACTATTGGTGGTTCGGGATGAAAAGAGATATTGTGGTGTATCTGTCGGAATGTGCAGCGTGTCAACAAGTGAAGATCGAACACCAAAGACCGAGTGGTTTGTTACAACCGTTAGAAATTCCAGTGTGGAAACATGATAGTATTTCAATAGACTTTTTTCGCACCCTAATTTTTGACCATAAGATCCCACCTCTTTTTGCGCGTTTTCTATTGTTATTTAACTTTATTTTAATATTTATGTTTTTTAAGGCTAACCAATTTGTGCGTATGCAGTCATTTTAAGTGGACCATCATTCTTTCTCACAATTTCAAAGACAGGGTCATCTAGGCTTGATTCGGATTGAGTCTGGAGTTTTTGTCGGTATCCCTTGAAAGCTTCGATACGTACTCATGAAGAGAAATGGATTTTCTTTGGGGACATGCCTAGTCATTTAGGCCTAGTTTTTTGGTTTTGTGGCAAGAAGAATTTCATGTGAAATCTCTCAGGACACGGTTTAGGGCAAAGTCATTTTGGGGAACATTTGAGGTTTATCTTTGAGATTTCGAAATTTACAAGACACAAGAAACGTTGTCACGACAGCATGCTAAATATATCTTCTTTACATCCACACTTCAAGAGAAGTTTTGGAAGATTCTTTTGAAAGCGAAGGTTTGGAAGAATTTTATGCCACACTAAGATTATAAGTTTGAAGTCGTAATACGAAGTTCTTGGATTATTGTGGATACAAGTTTCAAATAATAAACTCTTATTCATTTACTTCAAGCTAGTGAGGTTACATAACTTAACAATTCATGTTTCAAAAAGGACATACAATTTGAAGTTCAGTTCCTGATGGGCTAAAGACGTGTCTGCTTAATGCGTCTAGCGGTATCTTACTGCAAGTGCACAGCCTATCGAAGTAATATTTAAGATTATCGATCCACAGGGATTCTATCGTTACGTAGTGCTAGATGAACTTCTAGTTTAGCTAAGGCGAATAGTTGTCACGATTGTTGTTGGTTTTCTAAGACTATTGAAGGCGGAATAAAATCTAAGTTTTTAATAAAATAATACTAAAACGGTCGGTATGTAATTATACTAACTTAGGTGGGTCAATCTAACCTAGGCTTATAAAGATGTTCACTTAATCTATTCGGTAGAGATTACTAGTTTGAATACCCTCAACTCACACTCTCGTGGTCTTGAATCAGATCTTATCCCTAAAGCCCTATGCCTGCTCTCGCTAGCCCATAAGTGTTTAGAGATAATTTTTGGAAACTAAATAATTCTAATTTATCTTAAAGCGCTCTCGCTGTATTTAATTTAAATGCCTAACTTTAGCTATCTGGTTAAAATCTCACACTCTCGTGGTCTTGACCCAACCTAATACCCTTTTCTTACTCTCGTAACGAAAAGGTCGAATTCAATTAAAAAGCATCAGCCAGAATGTTAAGCGATTAATTATTTTAGCCCACGGTTATATTTTACCGGTTAAGTTAGTTATAACTACATACCGCCATAAGGTATTTAGCTACTCATCGAGGTTAAATCAGACTCAGAGTTAATTATTGACTTACTAATGGCAGAAAAATAAATAGACATTATAAATAAATTAAATTGCAATAACTGAAAAACCTGATTAACAAATATCTGAGTAGACTCCTTCTTCCACAGACCGGAAGGTTTGGAGTAGGCGGAAATAAAAATTGAAACGAATGCTGAAGGCTGGAAACAAACAAAAGTATAACAATTCCCTAATGTTGGAAATTGTTACACGGTTGGTTTGGATACAAATAAAATAAGACAGGAAATAAAATGCTGGAATAATAATTCTGATGGTAAGGTAATTCGGCAGAGCTTCCGCAGGAAATTTGGATACTGAAGTCTGTCCTTGAATCCTCCTGAGCTGGTCCTATTTATAGAGCTTCCAATGGGCTGGTCCTTGGTCTTTTGCTTCTTGGGCTTTGCTGAAGTGGTTGAGAAAATGTTGGAAAGTGGCAGCAGAAAATGGGAGAAGTCTCCCTCACGTGCTGCCTTGAGGAGAATTACCAGGAGGAGTGGGCATCACTGGTGGCTTGACGTAGTCTGAGTCAAAATTCAAGTTATATCCTTGTCACGGGCGTGACAAGGTCTTC